TAACAAATAGATATTTAATACATTATTTTAGCACGCAACATCTATAAAATTTATAACTTAATAATACGTTTATTAAACAAAAATATTATGATAATGAGAAATAATTTTCATATTAGTCTTGCTCTTATGAAACAATTAATACTTTTGTTTCAATATTTCTCTAAATTATTTATAAATACCTAATGTATCGCCATTTTGAATTTTGCAATTTTTTTAGAAAACTCGTGAGAAACATATTTGCTAAAATCTTATTAAATTTCAAGTAAAACTAATTTTGAACATTTGAAAATTTTGAACTAGTTTTTTCATAAATAAATTATTTTCAGCCAACTCTTTGTCCCAATTTTTATTTAAATTAAAAATGGACATTCAGATTTTATTAATCCTGGTGCTAATATCTGGAATTGCTGCTGATGGTATTACATTATTTCAATATTTAATTTTATAATATATATTATTTATATTTGTTTAGGTAAAATTAATTTAAATCTTAATATTATAAGCTTAATGACTGACTTATTATGATTATAGGCTATAATTTATAGCTATAATTTAAAATACTTTTTAAGATTATTTATTGTGTATATTATATCACAATAATATTTAAGTATATTATATAAAATAAAGTATATAATAAAATATACAATAGATGTACTATGTATTCAAATATACAGAAAATAGTCATACAATATGTAAAAATACAGCAAATCTATTGTATATTTTATTATACTGTATAAATAAGTATTATACTATTTATAACTAGTATTTATTATCATAATAATGTAGATGTTCCTGGGAGAAAGTTACTAAACACTTATACATATACTTGTATATTCTGGTTTCATTATAATAATACCAAATTGTTATCTTGCATATTATGACGCTATAATCAGCCTTAAAAATATAATCCCTTCACATATAACGTCTAAATCTATAATTTAATAAGCACTATATTAAGAAAATGCATTTCTCATACAAGTACTAGTAGTACAGGTTTCGGTCTACACCCATCCAATATGGCAGCCACCAGATGGCGCTATTAAATAATAGTGCTTTATAAAATGATAGTTAAGCTGACCATAAATTTACCTCTCAAAAAATATTATAAAGTTTTCAAGAAGACATTGTAATCTTATAGGTAAAGTACGACACTAGTACTACTACAATTTAGAGAGAAATGGAGAGAGAGAGAGAGAGAGAGAGAGACTCCAAAATGCTTAAGTAATTTATTTAAATTAGAAACTATTACAAATGTTGTCATTTACCATATTTATAACTATCAAACATGCACAGGATGTGGGCCCGCTGTTCCGGATAGCCTACCTGATGAACGTAAGCATGCAATTAATGATTGTGAACAACCACGAGCATACAATCACACCATGTCCATTTTCTATATACGCTCGACATTCGTATGTCGATCGGGTGCTAACAAATGTCATATTCATTACAGTTCCGCCAAAGTCTAATGATGAATGTCCTTATTATAAGGCGGAAAATCCCAAAAATTTATATGAAGGCTGTGAATGTATCAAGCACGAGTGCTCATTCCCGGGGCATGTTTGCGATGCTACCAGCATGGTCCCAGATGAATCATTAACATGTTGTACGCAGAAATGTGGTAACAAGTGTATGGCACTTGGTACAAATGAATAGCCAATTAAATTTCAGCAAATTATATTCTGGTCATTGGTTAACCGACTTATAACCGAAAGTTAAAAAAATTTCAGAAATTTTATAATAAATTTATTTTATTACTATAAACTGGCACTAAATCTAAAATTTTACTATTCTATTGAAATAAAATAAATACAATTTTTCTATAGTTTAAAATCATTTCTAATTTGTTTGGTGTTATACTAAAACAAATATTATATTGATACTAGTATAATTT